GAACCAAGCAACTCTTCACATCTGGATGTTATAAAACGTTGGAATGAGAATTACGCTAACTGTATACTCGTGTTGAACATTTTTATGGATAGGTTTAACTGTATTTCAGTATCCGAACGAAAGTGGTCAGTCAGAACCGAAGTGTGCGAGTGCAGACGAGATGATGTAGAGGTTGGCTTAATTCAAATACATTTTATACTGATATATACTAAGAATAATTAAAAAAATTAAGATTATCCGGTTGCTTCACTCCTTTACCACAGTGGTTAACTACATTAGTCTACTTTTCATTCAAACTATATACAAGACTGGTTACCCAATGATACTGGGTATCAAAATATCTAAGATTTATGGATCATAACTGTGTTAGTAATTTCATTATTCGTTACTACATCTTTTTATACCAGTGACACAATACCGAAATAATAAAAGTTCACATTATAAGAAATTTATGTTACATTACCATTAGCATTCTTACCTTCCAAAGTTTCTTCCCACAATACAATGCCATGTAGGTCCATATTTCTTATCAAATTCTTTTTTCACAAAAGTGGCAACATCTTTTTCAATATTATGCTCTTCCATAGCCTGAGCCGTGATGTCTACAGCGAATTGCTGCATATCTTCTGACATGTCAGCATTTTTAACTACTGCTTTTTTAAGATCCATTTTTCAAGGAAACAAAATAATTCAGTACCCTTTTTTTATAGACGGTAAATAATATCACCCGGTCAAAGAGTACTACAGATATTGTTAAAAACCTCAATTTATAACTTATCTACCTTGTTTGAGTGATCCAATCGATTTTAGTAGCTTAACTTCACATCGGTGGACACAGATGTAGATTAACAAACGATAAATTTTTCATTTTTGTGTGCCAAGATTGAGAACATTGATTGGACGAATTAATGTGCATGTGAATGCAGTAGTTCTGTTCGATGTAGGAGTAGAATCGAACTAAACGATATCGAGTTGCGCACATAGTTACGAGTAGGCACATAAATATGTACAGTACAGACCAAGTTTCTCTCACCCTGACTGAAAGCGCTTTCTATTAAGTGACTGAATTAAAAACATGAAGTTAAAACTTAGTTGTAGACTAAGAAATGCAAAACAGTATAAGCATACACTTACACACATACTTTAACAAAAAATATTTATCGGTTTTGATAAACATTTGGAATGAATCGAACTGAGCAGTGAATTCCATATTACAATGTGTTACAATGAAAAACCAAAAAAAAACTATCAAAAACAAAACCATGGTGTAAGATTAGAGTTATAGATTTTTTGATTTCGAATGAGACAGACTAAGGCCTTAGGTAACCATTTTGACTCTACCCACTTTGTAACTGCTTCTGGCGGCCTGCTTAAGATTTGTGCTACCAAAAACCTCCATCATTAAATTGCATATATTTTCTGTTATCCATTTTGTTCTAATCAACTGAAATGCCTTTGCTACTGGTACTATTTACTCTCTTGAGCATTTAAAGTTTTACAACCTGCTGATTCGCAAGTTTCTACTAAATTTGAGAAAAAGGTGTAGTCATAGGTTACAACGTATATCAATACATGGGATAAGTGTTCTCGGGTTATATCCTTGGGTCCCAAGCTATACTGCCGAACTTCTTATAATTGGCTTTCAGCAGAATGTCGCGCATTTCTCAAAGGAGACCAAGAGGAGGTATCATAACGGATTGGTTAAGACTTCAGGTCAGACAGCACTGTACCAGTCTAAGAATTGTCAAGTAATATTTTTATTTGTAGATCTTGAACGAAGAGAAAATATCATGAGATAAACTCTGCTAAAAATCCTGTACATTATAAATATAGACATTATCCAGGATAAAGCTATTATTATAGTAACTTATTATTTTCTTTTGATTACAGCTTGATTCCACACCGTATTTTCGGTACAAGTATGGAATTCTCAGCATACGTTATCGGTAGCCCAAATTTTGCAGTCCGACCATTGATATCAGGTTTGCGTCGGGGGCGATATCGAACCCCGGACCATGTTCATGGTCGGCGATTGTCCCAACCCCTGTGCCAGCAATGCACACTACTATAAATCTAAACTCAAAAATACTACACTTATTCTCAATGAAAAATTCTAAAGAAGTGGACATTTTGAACATTTACATAATTAGAAAATGGACAGTTTGTCATTTTTGCTGGGGATAGTCTGTACAAATAGATTATATTCATTTTAATACTTGATAGTGCTATCAAAATGTGTAGTAGTACATTGCGGATAAAGTTGTAAGAAGGGAAACACTGACTAGAAGTAATAAATGAACTATGGTGGATAGCCAAAAGTTATAGAGGAAAGAAGCAGAACGAGACTATTTCATATAAAAAGATTTCCAAGATGAAAACAGAGGAAAAGCATGAATATATCTGCTAAACGTTTACTGTGCTTACTTCTCTAAAGCCTTAATTTCAGTATTCCTCTAAATTGATCAATTGCTCCACAGTCGTCCTCTAATCTACATTATCTGATTTAACTCTAATTAGTGACATATACCTATAACTACCTGAATTATCTATCCTCTTATCTGCCCCTTATACTTCATATATTGTCTCTATCATTTTTATATTTAGAACTGTCACATATGATACAAGCGTTGCTGTAATGGTACTTCCTATTTTTACGGTTACTAGTGAAGATTCTTTTCTACAAATATTAATCAATCATACAATAAAGATCCACATAACTAAGGAATTTTTCTGTATTATAAATGTAAGCTTTTATGTCATTTATTAAATATTAAAATAAAAACGTAAAATGTGATTTGGTCAAATGATTCTTAGAAAAATGTTTCAAAGTAATATTTGATATCACTTACAAAAGACCACAATATATAAGGAATTTATAGTTCTTCATTCATTTAATAATGTGTGCTCTTTAGCTGTTATCATTAGTGAACAATCTTTACATACTCTTGAGTATTATTTGCATTGGATTCTTACCTAACTGATACAGATTAAAAGCTTTGAGACAATATTCGTTCAGCTAAATTTGTAGAAAACCATAGAGCCTAGGTAAAAGGCTTCATACTCAATGACTTTTATTGCTGACTTCAGTGTTTCTATGCATCAGTTGCCTTAATAATTCACAGAAGCTGATGATTACAACAGACGTATGAGTAGATATTACTGAAATAACTGCAAACATTTTAAAAAGTTATTCGCCTCTAGTTGTACACTAAAGAATACTGGTTTGCATCATTTTAATTTATTAATGTATTCATTCATCACCATTGGATTACGAGTTGAACAAAGAGCTTCAACAAGACATAGCCACTTTATCCTGGTCTTTGCACTTCTTTTCAGCCGCCTCAACGATTGCCCATAAGCTTTCATCTCCGGACGATCTCCTCCGTGTCACTCGGGGATACTCCACTCGTTTTTTCCAGTCCAATTTCCACTCATGCGTATAGCATGACGTCGTCCAGAGATCTTCTTAGGGTATCTCTGATCTGTCCCCATTTTCTTCGGTATATTTTCTGAGCAATAGGTTCTTGGTTGGTTCGTTTCCCTAATTTCTTGTTACTGATCATGTATGTCCAGCTGATATCCACTATGGAGAGAAGGCAGCTGTTGGCAGAAATATGCAGCTTGTTAGGTATGCAGTACAAGATATGAATGAAAAACATGTAAGGTAAGGATTTCATTCCCTAGTATTATCTTATCTCCTCTTTTCGTTAGAAGATTTGGATGCATATTCATAATTTTCGTCACTGTAAATGTCTGTTCATAGCACAAGTATGCGATGAGCATCATCTTTAGAAAGTGAAATTTTCAGGCCACTGATGCCAAAATTTGAAAATTTTGCATAAAGATTGACTTTCTTCTACTGCTTGTCGCATAGTATGTTTTTCAAGTTGAATTTAAAGACGCAGAAATATGAAGGTGAGGATTCAGAAAACTAGAAAATCTGACTGTGTAATTACTTAGGAGTTCCATTTTCGAAACACTTCTAGTACCGCTGAAGTAGAAGATATATGAAATAGCAAATTACAGTGTTTTTTCAGCTAATGCATCTCGCATATGATATTAATTTCAAAAACTTCATGTATATTCATTCCTAATGTCCAAGATAAAAATACAATGAGTTTAGTCACCGGTATTGTTGTGTCATTTAGACACATTTCATTTTAAACATTTAGGAATAGACAAGCAAATTGGTCAATACGTATTCAACAATTAGTATAAATAACACGAGCACTTGAATCCACTCGTCAGCAGTTTTCAATTGGCTTACTTTGCATTTTATATCCAATTTAAAACTATCACTCATGATAAGTAGTAAGCAGCTTCGCCCTGATGAACATCTTGTAAGTATGATGACCTGCACGAACGATATTTTCAGTTAATTATCCTACCTAATTTTTCTTGAAGAAATTAGTTTCATTATCCACTTTTCAGTTGAAACTTCATTATTTAACTATGCATGACTGTGGCTATTCATTTTCCTTGGGTATTCACCAAAGGGCAATAGTACTTTTGAGAAAGAGACTAGTTTAGCTGTGATGAGGTTAATTCATCAACTGCATTTCACACTAATTTCGGATTGTTTAAAAATATCATTGCAGAACTTTTCAAGTTGAACGAACAATGGAGGTTCAGTGTTTAATTTTCACTTTCAGAATCCCCATCTCGTTGAAATAGTTTTCACTGTAAAATATTAAAACTCTAGTGAAGCTTACTAATGATAATTAAGGTAAAGAAATTTTTTGCTAAAAGGTTTTAGTCATGCGCTGATGACACATGTGATTTCTTATTTCTATTACTGTTTTTTTCTATTTCTTTAACTCATGTGTTTCTTATGTATCTACTTAATCACAATCTCATATAAACACAGTAATTATAATTGAATGTAGAGAAAACGCCCTATATATATAAATTCTATGCAAAGAAATAGCAAACAGATATTTTACTGCCAAGCATAAAGTTTATCAAATATCAGTAAACTCCGATTATTCTCATTAGATATCATGTCACCACACAGAGCTATTGTGAAAAATACAAATCTACCGCCAGATATGCAAGATCAAGCAGTAAAGGCATGCTTGAAAGCAATGACAACGTGTAGACATGATAAAGATGTCGCTGCTGCTATAAGGAATACATTTAATCAAAAGTATGGACGCACATGGCATTGTATTGTTGGAGGTAGTTTTGGCAGGTAATTTAACGAAAATTTGTATATGCATATATATTTTTATATATGTCTTTTAACTTTGGCTTTTGAAGTGTTTCAGTATTATTAATCTTAAGTCCCAGTTTTATTATATTAGTGAAAATCTCTCAAGCGATTTTAAATGTTTTTTGTGATTTCTTTAGCAATCACAGTTGGTTTTGACCAGTTTAAGAATTTTTACTCAACTGATATACCATGTTTAATTAGTGATATTTGTCTGTCGCCATTTATACTGAAATATATAAATGCAAATATAAGATAGTTTATGAATTTATATGCATTCGAGCTTTCATGAATACTATTTTATAGGAGTAGAATTCAGTGTCACTTTGAATATAACATGTTACTTCCTGCTTCAACCTGTTTACTAAGCGAAAAGGTATACGGGAAAAAACGGTATTTGCGCTATGTTACTGCTTGTATATATCCTCTGAAATCCAATGTACTTGTTTTAAGAAGACCAGGGAACACACAGTAAGTTGAATTTAGAACAACAGTAAGGTCATTCAGAGTATGAAGTGTTATTCCACGATTAGCTACCTTAGCTAACTAGAAATCGCTAACGAACAACTGTAAGAAACGTGACAGCGTGTTAAATAGCCTGGATGCTTGACTGTACACCTTCAGCTTGTCAAGCTGACTTAATTAGTGATGGTAATCATTCAATATTGAGAAGTGTACGCCGTAAACTAACAATTTCGGGGGAGTATTTTCTGCAACACTAAATTGTGGTTCAGGTTTTATAAACTAATTCGAAAACGCCAAAGAGTTTAAGTAAAACCTAAAGGGGTTCTCCTACAGTGGTCATTCAGCCATCCTGATTTCTATCTTCAGCACATTAAGGTTTATTATTTGAAATGTTTAAGTGTTTTTGACTGGGTAACTAGGGATAGAATTAGAATAGGTGGTGCATTTTTGAGATAATACTTTAGTAAAAGATTTTTCAGTGTAGATGAAGAGAATCTCAAGGTATTTTTTACTGCATTATGCAGTAACATGTGTCTTACTGTAACGACAAAATGAGATGAAGGCACTCAGCTAGGTGTTAGGCAGCTCAAGGGTTGTTTATTTATGTCGAGATAAGTCTGTCATTTGAATGGACAACTAATATATAGGGCGAATGAAACAAAGGTGACACAGTCATGTATTTTAAGTCCTTGTTTTTATCAAACAAGTATTCCCTTTGTGAAGGAACAGTGAATGAAGCAGAAGAAACTGAGATAAAATGAGCATTTTTTAACTTGAAAGACATAAAAATTGAAATTGTTCCTCTGGATTTACAAAGTAAACTACTTAATTCAAGTATTGGATCGAGTGCCAGTGGCTTAATGGTATACGAGCTCGCATTGTAACCAAAAGGTCCTGGGTTCGAATCCTGGTGGGTGCGTACTGATGAAGAGCTCCAAACTAGGACGAAACAGCTGTCCATTACTCCCAGGTTTTCCAATGGTTCTCTAACTAATGTCAGTTCATGATGAAGTCCTGTAACCAATAAACTACTTAACCTAAGTAAATTGGCTGTGAGATGATAATTCTTTCGATTCTTTTCAACAGGGTTTCTAAGTTTTCATATCTGTACAAAATATGTATCAGCTCTGCCTGTTGTGATATCTCTTAAAAATTTTCGCTTTCATTGTTTAAACTGAGCATGTAAAGTTTATATTATTACGGTGTAACCATAATTACTTAACCGTAATTACTTTTTCTAAAATTTTTGTTTCTTCTAGTAATGTGAGTCATATAGACACAGGACTGATTTACTTCTTTATGGGACAAAAATCGATCTTGCTGTTTAGATCAGAAAAAAGTAATGTATGATAACAAATATCAAGCGATGAAAATCTCCCAATTCATTTTGATAGAACCTTCAAATGTTTTTTTAGATCAAATTACTGAAAATTTTATAAATATATATTATGTATGAAATTTTGTACTGTTATATGTTTTAGCAGAATGAATATCTTTATAATGATTTTAAAACAGTGGTCACTAGTGATGAAAAAATGAAGAAAGGAAACCCTGAAATGTAAATGATCAGTGATCACAACATTGATTACTATGCAATGCTGAAATTTGATGTGAGCTATTGAAAATTCGGAAGACAACTGTAACCTATTTGGAGTGCATTTAAATGAAGTTTGTATTGAAATTATTTGTCAAATTGTCTTGGAATAGAGAAATAAGGAAAATAGGTATTCACTGAAAAGGTTTCATAAAGTATTTAGATTAAAAAAATGTAAGGTATTGTGTTCAGTAAATATCAGGGTCTATTTGAAGTGCAACAATGAGTGGTGTTAGGTGTTTATAACTAATATTATTGATGATCAGTATTTATCATACAAGTGTTTTTTGTACACTTTACAGAAAGGCACTCAGAGGAGTCAAACATGCGCCAATTTATTATCTGTAAATGTCGGTTACTTAAAAAGAAACTACACTGAGGTCTCAAGTATGTGAGGATTGTCACAAAACATTTTCTCGCCCTTGAAACAGTACACTTCAGCATTTTTTTCAAGAATTCTTAACGTAACATTTTGAAAAGAATATATTAATTAGAAGGGATTATTTACAATCGAAAATACTACTACTGATGTTAAGTTTGACATAAGACATATAAGAATAAGGACAATAACAGTCAATCCTATAAATATTTTCAAGTATTGATTTTATAGGGCTTTTTGTTCGATTGGTCGGAGGATTTCATCATGAGCTGACGTCAGTTAGAGAACCATTGGAAAACCTGGAATTACTGGACAGCCAGTTTGCGAATCCTCATCAGTACACACCCTCTGGGGTTCGAACCCAGGAATTGGCGGGTGCGTACTAGTGAGGAGTCCCAAACTGGACCTGAACAGCTGTACAGTACTTCCAGGTTTTCCAGTGGTTCTCTAACTGATGTCAGCTCATGGTGAAATCCTCCAGCCTATAAATATTTGACTGATTAAACGCATTTTGTAGAGTCGAAAGAAATAACTTTTTCATTGAGCCTCTAATAGAAATCAAAATATCATCCGGTTGAGATTCAGGAATATTTCCTCAGTCAACAACGTTTTAAATATTTATGTAATCGTATATTTAGGTTTTAAAATAAAAATGATTATTGTTTCTGTACCTAGCAGAAGCATCTTAGTTTACAAAATACCAAATTAAACGATTGTTGAGTAAACGTGGTCAGTATCACATGAATACATGACACAACAATAATGAAAGTAAAATTAACGATTCATTTCAAGAATAAGAAATTAAATTCAAGAATTTTGTAAATGAATGAATTATTTCTTTAAATGATATGCAGTTAACTAAGTACGCGTGTGCATACGACCATGGTTATCTACAATGACAAGAGTCTTGAATTAATTTTTAATGTAATATGAAATGGCACTTTGTTTTATAAGCTTCTAAAGCTGCTCAGAAACTTCTCGTAGAGTGCAAACAGAAATGTATCTAATTCTATAACGAATTACGCAACATAACTAAGTGTTTGGAAAAAATAAAAGGGTATTTGTGAAATAACTAGAGGAATAATAGTAATATAGTAATAACCAGCAGTACCGTTAAGACCAATACCTGACATGCAAAATTCTCCGTACCATGCTCTACCTAGATGGTTACTAACATTTCTCAAACCCTTGCATGAGGAGATAGTAAAACATAGCGTCAAAGATGTATTTGAATTCGTAGACAAAATCAAAGATATTAATATCAAGAATAAAACTGTGATATTTTTAGACATAACATCTTTATTCACAAATGTACCTTTAGTAGAAATGGTCAACTACATATGTGAAAAATTGTATAACCAGTCGGAAATCCTAAAAGAATTGTTATTAAGGTTAACCATGAGCGTAAATTTCAAACTTGATGGTACACTTTGCAGACAAGTGGACGGGGTGGCGATGGACTCTCCTTTGGATCCCATTTGGTAGATTTCTTTGTAAGTTAACTAGAAAATGGACCTTTGAACAGCCTTATCAGAAAATTCTCATTGTATTGCTGGTATATGGATAACACCTTTATTCTTTGTTATAATGATTCGGATAGGAACACATTAATAGCTAAATTCAACGAAGTACATTTTGCTATGAAATTCACGTGTGAAGAGGAATCACAGAATAGAATTGCCATTCTAGATGTCCTGCTTATGAGAAAACCAGATGGTAGTATAAAGAGAAATTTGCATAGAAAAAACACATGGACAGGACACTATACACATTTTCATAGCATCGTTCCTCTCCAGTACAAAAGAAATTTAGTAAGGAACCTCAACTACAGAGCTACAGCTATATGCTCAGAAGAAGTAACTGAAGATGAACTAATGATTGTATATGACAACTTAATTTAAGAAAGCAGAAAAGGACTATTCTTCATCTGTAAATAAGAAGCCTTTGTATACACGACTGCAATTCAAGGGTGACGCACCTAGTGAAGTAATTGCTAACAAGTTAAGAAAATCTATTCAAAGAACTTGTAATGCTGGTAAACTAAAATTTGTGTTTTCTATACGACCGATGGTGATTCGTCGACTGGAATATGAAGTAACTAAACTAGCCACCTCCAAATGTATCTACCAATTCAACTGCACTTGTGAAGCGAGTTATGGTGTTCGTTGCTCTAGGAACTTGATGTTTCGTGGTCGAGAATATCTCCTAGTATGGCTAAATAAAGGTGTAGTAAAAACTATCAACAGTTCAATATTAGAACACCTAAATATGCGTTCTTCAAAATATAGACATGACTAGCTTAGTTTGAACTTTTGAGTAATTTTAAACAAGCGGTTTAACAAATTTCTAAATAAATAGGCATATGTATGATTGTTAGGATAATCTAGATAAACATTAGAATGATAGGTGATCATACGCACTAGCTCAATACTTTGGTGATAAGTTATAACGTGATTTAGATGAAAAAAACATATTCACTGACAGTCGAAAATTATTGTTGAAATTTTTAATGTACAGTGTACACATCTGTCTTCAAAGACTGAAATAAAGATACTAGAAAACTTTGTGAAAACGGTTCGCTAATTAGAAATTTGATTATTTACCATCATATTTTCACTAACGTGATCGGAATAAGATTTTCGATCACCTAGAGAATAGGATGTGTTAACTTTGTGAAAGATCAACGACTACGATGAAAATTTTAATATTTAAATGGATCCATTCAGGAAAGTCATTCTTCATATACATATATATACATATATCCTATCCTTGTTATCAGCTGGTAAACTAGGGGCGCTTCGGTTGGGAATGAAGCATTGGACCATGTGAGTCGTCCGCAAGCATTCAACCAGTGAATCACTATATATATACATATATATTCTGAAAAACTGGTATGTGAAATGGAATATGATTCCAGTGGGTGTGTGGTGGCAGAGTTTTACCGAATAAGCCGTACTAACAAAAGATTCGAAGGCAATTACTTAAATTTTAACCTCAACCATTATGATTGCTAGCCGCAGATGTTTCATTTAGACTATTTACTGTGCATACATATGTAAAAAGTATAACTTTAATGCCTAAATCATTCAGAAGACAAAAATTGGGAGATCATTTCATGGAACGTTAAACAATGTCTTAGCTTTCAAGTGATGGCTTGCAAGGCTTTAATTAGTTTCAAATTCAACCATGCATTGACTTTAGTTAGTGAAGCACTGAAAACCGGAGAATATTGAACAACTTCTGCTTTGTCTTGTGAGGGACTCTATCAGTGCGCCCTTAAGGCCACTGATGTGACACAGAGAGGCATTTCAATAACTAATCATGTTTTAATAAACCAAGTAGTATAGGACACACAAATTAAGAGTGTATACGATCAGTCGGAGCTCCATCCACCATATTTATTGAAGTAAAAGTCTTGAGCTCGACTGATGTAAAGTCTATATTTATTAAATTCTCATATCACGAAATATTTAACTATATCCTCACTCATAATAAAATAAGTAAAATCCAAATTAATTTACCAGTCAAATGTATTGAAGAACCCATCCTAACACCAACTGTCAATATTAGAGCTTACTTCCAAGGTAAATTATACAAAAAACGGTTGGTGAGTGATACAGGTTTAAATTCTACCGCTGATAGATAACCTGCTTATGTCAAAGTGGAAAGAAGGAAAAATTACATAAAGAAATTTTGCTTTTCTGAAGGTTAAATGATTAACACATTTGTCATAAGCAACAACTGCCACCTAGTTAACTTTAATAAGAAATCAAAACACGTGACTCAATGGTGTCTTTATTTCTGGAGGTTCGGACACACCATAACTGTACAACAACATAGAATCCTATGCGGCTTTGGTTAGTCGTCTCTATCTTTAGATATTTCTCTTAGGTATTTAAGTTATATTGAAAATACCATATTCGAAATGTAGGTTTTTATTGTAATGAGAAAAGATTGGTACATGTTAAACTTCACCTGAAATTTGATATACATGTAACAACATAAGAAACGATAAGTGATAAATTCGAACTGGACTCCAATGTTATTAATTAGATACAAAACCCTATGGTTCACTAAGTCGTCTGACTGAGGTAACACCTAACTTAATAAAAGTATCGATAAGTTAAATTGAAAGTGAGTCCCGATGAATTTAATTAAATTGTGTACAGTTTTTTGAAATACTTTTACATGTTACCTGAAATCCTAATTACTTGATACTAACCTTAGAAAATTAAAATTAAATATTCATTAAATTATTTAAAACATTCATTTAAACATTATGTGAGAAAGTAATTCAATACAGTGTATAAATTGAAATGATTTCAGATGATTTAATGTAGACTCTAGTAAATATTTCAATAGATACGACTTTAGGCAATATGGACATTCTAAGGAATTATGGCCAAGTTAAACTTTAAGCAGCATTCACTACCAATGGAGTGCGACCGTATCAACGACCTTGAAACACTTATTGAGCAAGTTAGT